AAGCTGCCCAGGTGGCGGCTTTGCTCCTGTCCCCCTGGTCTGCTGGGGGGGTCCAGCGGCTTTGCTGGACCCCCCCAGCAGACCAGGGAGACCGGGAGAAGCTTTTCTCGCCCTGAAGGACATGGGTGGCAACCTGCTGCCCGTGAGCTCCGGGGCGAGAAAAGCCCCGTTCATAAGTGCGGATCTGACATAAGTCGGATCCGCGTAAGTCGGGGACTGGCTGTACGTGCCATGATATGTTTGTGTTCTATACTTAACTGTTTCAGTGGCTCAACTTTTAGTATTAGGTATTACAGTTTACCACAACAACTTCCACATAAACATTCCTTAGATGAAAGGCCACTTGACAATGGTTACATTGAGAATAGAAATATAAGCATAAACGTGCCTTTATGCTATCCTAGCAACAGTACAGTTGTAAGTATTTTTGCCAATACTTCTAACAGATTGGAGCTTGGAGGCACTTTTCTGTCATCGTGACACTTTGAAGCAGTAAGGAAGAGCTCTATGGAAGTAAAAACCTGGCTTTTTTAATATACTGTAAGAAACCAGTGATGTCATTGCTAGTTTTGAGATGTTAGCCAAAGCTAAATGATGCAGTTTTAGATCTGTATCCTGTCCTGGTTAAGACCAGGTTCGTGGCTAGCCGCTGTCTTTTCAAGGCTTCCTTCTATCTTGTTTGCTTATTTTCCCCTAACTACTGGACTAAACTTTTTATTTTTTTACAAAATAGACTTGTGTAAGTGTTTTACTGCACCTGGTACCTAATTAACGATGCTTTCTTAATTTCTGCCATTCAGCCTAGACCTGCTTGCAACCCACAGGGCCAGTAGCCCTGCAAGCCAGCTGCCAGAGCACAAAGCCCTGCTGTACAGAGTGGGGCCAACTGCTGGGAGCGTGGTGCTCCAGGAGAGCCCGATGCCTGACCTCCCCTGGTTTGGCAAACTCCCTTGTTTAAGACCACTTAGGTCCCAAACTAGGAAGGTCCAACCTGAACTGAGAATTAAGGTCACCCAGAACTTCTTGACACCATCCAACTCAAGCACCTAAAATAATGCTACATTAGCTGATAAAATTATTTTCTTAATATAGGAATACAGACCTATGTTAGGCCTGAGTAAACTATGGTTTTAAACTGAGTTTGAATATTAGTATGCATAATAGGTTGAAAATGTGTGACCAAAAGAATGCAATTATGAAAGAGTTGTTTGTGGTAAATGTGTAGTGATCTTCAGTAAAACAACACTGATAGGGTATGTCTACACTACCCCGCTAGTTCGAACTAGCGGGGTAGTGTAGACATACCCTATCAGTGTTGTTTTACTGAAGATCACTACACATTTACCACAAACAACTCTTTCATAATTGCATTCTTTTGGTCACACATTTTCAACCTATTATGCATACTAATATTCAAACTCAGTTTAAAACCATAGTTTACTCAGGCCTAACATAGGTCTGTATTCCTATATTAAGAAAATAATTTTATCAGCTAATGTAGCATTATTTTAGGTGCTTGAGTTGGATGGTGTCAAGAAGTTCTGGGTGACCTTAATTCTCAGTTCAGGTTGGACCTTCCTAGTTTGGGACCTAAGTGGTCTTAAACAAGGGAGTTTGCCAAACCAGGGGAGGTCAGGCATCGGGCTCTCCTGGAGCACCACGCTCCCAGCAGTTGGCCCCACTCTGTACAGCAGGGCTTTGTGCTCTGGCAGCTGGCTTGCAGGGCTACTGGCCCTGTGGGTTGCAAGCTGCCAGACCACGGATGTTGCCGGACCAGTATGCCCCGGACCAGAGAGGTTCAACCTGTACTACAAAAGTAAATTTATATTTTATCAGTACAGACATTCAGTAATAAGTGGATTGCATTGCATTACATTACCACAAGATATTGGATATAAGAGCATTTCCCCTTCTCCTGCCAATTTACATATTCTAGGGAAAATATTGTGTGGACATGGCACCTTTAGAGAAGTGACTGACATGAAAACTAGTACAGAACAGAATTACAAGCTATCTTCTATACTCATATAGATAACTAGAACACTTTAGGTAAAGCATCTACACAATTACTGGAACTATTTAAGTACAAATTGCATCAAGGAAACGGGAAGAATGTTGGCAGCAGCAGGATGAAGTGAGTGATCCAAACAATCTTTCTCTAGCTGATTCTTAGTTGAGTGGATTTGCACACTTTCCTTGAATTTACAACCAAAACGAGCCTGTACATGCCTTCCTAAAGTGGCATTAATGTTCACCATGGTTTATTAATCAATTCCTTTTCCAGTCTTTTAATCTACTTTTCTGTTCAATCTTATATGTTTAACAACACCTAGAGTAGTTTGCTGGCGAGGTGACATAAGAGCAGCAAAAACAGACATGTTCTAGAAAGGTGGAAGTGAGTCAATATTTGCTAGCTGCATATAATAGAACCTCAGAATTACAAACAGAAATGGAATGGAGGTTAATAAATCTGAAATGTTTATAACTGTGAACAAGAAGCTATGGTTCTTTCAAAAGTTTACAACTGAACATTGACTTAATACAGCTTTGAAACTTCACTGTGGAGAAGAAAAATGTTCCCTTTAATCATCTTAATTTAAATGAAATAAGCACAGAAACAATTTCCTTACCTTGTCAAATCTTTTTAAATTTTCGTTTTTTAACCTGTGTCATTTCTTATGTTACAGATGTGGATGAATGTGCTGTAGAGGCTTCTCCTTGCAAAGACGATCAGTACTGTCTAAACACAAATGGATCGTTTATATGCAAAGGTTTCCTTTCAATTATCTTAACATTTAAAATAATACTTGACCAATATAAAATGGAACAGATTTTGTTTTCTTCTGCTAGACATGCATGACTAAATTAAAAATATCCATGTTACTTTAACTTTTTTCTGTCTTAACCACAAGTTAGAATAGAGAATTTGCTGTTTGTGTCCTCTTTCTTTTGAGGGATGTTCGAATAATGGACATTTTAAAACTTGTCGCTGATATTCAGAAACTGAGGATCTGGCTACACTATGAGGAAGATCGATGCTGATACAGTCGATCTTCCAGGGTTTGATTTAGTGGTTCTAGAGCAGACCCCGCTAATTTGAACTGAGGGCTCCCCTGTCAGCGCTGGTAGAAGTAAGGAAAGTCGATGGGAGAGTTTGCTCCTATTGACCTTCCGCTGTGTGAATGGTGCAAAAATGGGATTTAAAATGCGTCGACTTCAGCTACATAATTAACAGGGCTCAACAAATAATGCGAGTAACAATCTGGAAGAGCCGGGTTTGGGTGATCTGCGCATGCGCAGATTGCCGGACAGTGCGGCTGGCGAACAGGACTTGCCACGGTTTGGTCAGCTTTGGTAATTAACATAACTGGAGTTGCGTATCTTAAGTTGCCCTTTCTCTTTAGTGTAGACCTAGCCTGAATGTATTAGTGATGACACATGCTGCAATTGGTGACTCCTTTGTCTATATACTTATTGTAAATTAACTTTGTTTATAAAACACTTTAAAGCCTCTTATCATTTACTGCTGCAAATAGTATGTAGTTACACCCCCAATATCATCAATTATTTAAATTTTTTCCTTGCTCAGAGCCTTCTGAAATTCTCTATTATAAATTTTCTGTTCTTGATCTCACCTTAGAGTTTAATTATATTTATTTCTCTGTTTTACAGAGTCCTCACAAAATAAACTAATGTACTGGTGCCATGTTAAACTCTCACCACAGATAACTTTCTGGCTAAATAGTGCAAACTATTCATCTTAGCAATGGGTAACCTCCACTGCCCACTAAGGATGTTGAGGCAGATAATAGGCTAATTGTATAGTCGATTCAAATTGTATCGACTACATGATTAGTCAATAAGGGAAGGCACTCAGTCCCAGCTCCTACTGGTTCTAGGTGCTACCCCCGCTGCAGTTTAAATGTAGTAAGAGCCAACTTAGTCCTGGCTCATGCCAGGTCTGGGACTGCTGTGGCTCTGCATTTTAAATGTAGTAAGAGCTTCTTACTACATTTAAAATGCAGATCCACAGTGGGGGTAGCTCCCAGACCTGGTGCAAGCTGGGACTGAGCCAAACTTGCTCAGTCCCAACTCCTGTTGGTCCAGCAGCCCTTATCTGCGAAGGGTCCCAGTTCCCTGCTGAGACCCCCCCCCCGGCTCTTCCCCCGCGGACAAGGGCTGCTGCCACAGGATGCAGAGCAGCCTTTGCTCGCAGTGAGCTGGGGCCCACTGCAGACAGGCTGCTTAGCAGCAGCTTCCCCTTCTCCTCCCTCTGTGCTGCTGCCTCTGATAGAGGCATGGGGGTGGGGGGCTGGCGGCTCCACGGAGATAGTGCTGGGGGTTACTGACTTTTAAGCCAGCTCCACCAGCTCCTTTTCCCTCCCCTTGCTGCCTCTGTATCAGAGGAAATTCAAGAAGTAGACTACTCAGCTACTTGCTTACATCCCTACTACCCACAAGCAAAGTTTACATATTAATATTAACCAACATAGGTAGTTTCTTTCCTTATTCTTTACCTTGTTTTGAGTCACTCTCCTCCCCAAAATCCAAATTAAATACTACAATATTAAATGAATAACAGGATGCTCATAGGCTGCTCTTCTGTTCAGATGAGCACTTATTATAATAATGAAAAGATTGAGGACAGGGGCCTATAGGCACTACTGTAGTACAAATAAGGCGGTTTTGTGTTGAACATGTGAACAAGTTAGTGTTGTTTTGGGGAACTGTTTCTTTCATCTTACTCATGCAAATTTGTGAACTTAAGTTCAAGATACAGTCTATTCTGTTTACATCACATCTGCATTCCAGTATTAATTAATGGTGCTTTGTTTTAGCATGCGATGCTAGCTGTGCAGGCTGCATGGGAGAAGGTCCTGGCAAATGTAAAAACTGCTTGTCTGGATACACAATAGATGATGAAAAGTGTACAGGTTAGTTGGATTTTTGAGAGTTAATGAACTGTGAACTGTAGTACACTTGCTGGATCAAAATATGTTCCAAAAGGTTGACTACAAGATGGGTTATTACTGAGTGTCTCTTTAATGTTAATAGAGCTTCAGCTCTTGTAAGTGCTTCAAAATATTTAATAGAAAAAATCTCAGCCGTCCACTGGTTTCATGTAACAGATCCTTTCTAATATTCAGGCACTCTGCATAAACTGATCTACAGCAAGGCCTAAAAAGACTAGACCGTGCTACATAGGGATGAACAGTATTGCGCTTAATACTTAATGTCTGTTCCAGGTATATCTGTTACAGTGATAGGATAACAGGCAGGCGAGTCAAACATATGTCCCTCATGATTTTTGACCTGTATTGCTGTACATTCTCACTTTATAATAAAAGAATAGAGCATAGTCACTTTATGCAGACTCTAAGCTATAACTTTTTATTAAAAGCAAGCTTGCAAATATTAACAGTGCAGTTTGTCATGTCTGCCAGAGTTAGCGTGTAGTCTGAAACAATGCTTCCAGGTATGTAGACTGTCTCCTATAAATCTAGTTAGAATGGCAACTCAACTTCAATGTTATTTCACTGGTGACTACTTTAGCATTGGGAAAAGAGGAGGAATGAAGCTTTCATGGGGTGCAAATGGGAGTTGCTGTGGAAAAGGACATTTGGAGCAAGACACTGAAGGAGAGGGAAGATAAGTAACAAGCAAGATTCTTGGTGGCCTACGGAGGACCATTTTTGTTATGAAATGTGACGTCAAAACTATTGACAGCATTTCTGCCACCTTTATTACTAAGGAGCAGTAAGTGGATATATTAGACATCCACAGATGGAAGAAAGCAATATTTATTTTCCCTTACTAAAATTTAAATTGTTCTTAAATTTTTGCAACCCCCTTATGGAGCTGATTGTTGGGCAGTTTCATAGAACCTGATATTAGCAGTTTTCACACTAAAACTGTTTTAAAACAAGGAATTAACTTTTTCAGATATTGATGAGTGTAACCATGCTGAAAAGGTGTGTGTAAGAGAAAATGAAGACTGTGTTAATACCCCGGGCAGTTACAAATGTGTTTGTTCGGAAGGCTTTGAAGAAAAAGATGGCATTTGTGTTCAGGTTGTAAAAGCAGGTGAGTGACTTTAAAAAAGACCCTGCAAGTAAATGTTCTTTAATTCAACTTGCTTAACATATCAGGCTTGCAAGGTGTGAGTACATCGGAAGCAGACTAAACAACCAGTGGGCCCTTGGACGATCAAGATGCTAAAGAAGCACTCAGATGATAAAGTCATAGTGGAGAAGCTAAATGAATTCTTTGCTTCAGTCTTCACAGCTGAGGATATTGGGAAGATTCCCAAACCGAGCCATTCTTTTTAGGTGACAGATCTGAGGAATAGTCCTAGATTGAGGTGTCATTAGAGGTGGTTTTGGAACAAATGGATAAACTTAACAGTAACAAGTCACCGGGACTAGATGACATTCACCCAAGAGTTCTGAGAGAACTCAAATGGGAAATTGCAGAATTATTAGCTCTTTGTAACCTATCCTTTAAATCGGCTTCTGAACCTAATCACTGGAAGATAGCTAATGTGATAATATTTAAAAAGGCCTCTAGAAGTGATCCTGGTAATTACAGACCAGTAGGTCTGACATCAGTACCGGGCAAATTATTTTATTCCTTACTATAGTTTCAACTAATCAGACACATGGATGAATATAATTTGTTGGGAGACATTCAACATGGTTTCTGTAAAGGGAAATCATGCCTTACTAATCTGCTTGAGTTCTTTGAAGGGATCAGCAAACATGGACAAGGAAGATCCCATGGATATAGTATACTTAGATTTCCAGAAAGCCTTTGACAAGGTCCTTCACCAAAGGTTCTTAAGTAAAGTAAGTTGTCCTAGGATAAGAGGAAAGGTCCTTTTATGGATTGGTAACTGGTTAAAAGACCGGAAACAAAGGGTAGGAATAAATGAGAAGTTTTCAGAGTGGAGAGAGATAACTAGTGAGGTCCCCCAAGAGTCTGTCTTGGGACCCATCCTATTCAACTTATTTATAAATGATAGAGAGAAAGGGGTAAACTGTGAAATGACAATTTACAAATGATACCAAACTGCTCAAGGTAGTTAAGACCAAAGCAGACTGTGAAGAGCTTCAAAAAGATATAATCAAACTAAGTGATTGGGCAACAAAATGGCAAATGAAATTTAATGTTGATAAATGTAAAGTAATGCACATTGGAAAAAATAATCCCAAGTTTATATACAATATGATGGGGACTAATTTGGCTAATACTACTAAGAGAGAGCTCGGAGTCATTATGGTTAGTTCTCTGAAAACATCCACTCAGTGCAGCGACAGTCAAAAAAAGCAAATAGAATGTTAGGAGTCATTAAAAGAGGGATGGAAAATATCTTACTGCCTCTATATAAAACCATGGTACGTCCACATCTTGAATACTGTGTACAAATATGGTTGCCTCATTTCAAAAAAGTTATATTGGAAAAGGTTCAGAAAAGGGCAACAAAAATTATTAGGGGTTTGAAACGGGTCCCATATGAAGAGAGATTAAAAAGACTTGGACTTTTCATCTTAGAAAAGAGGAGACTAAGGGGGGATATGATAGAGGGCTATAAAATCATGTCTGGTATGGAACAAGTGAATAAGGAAAAGTTATTTACTTATTCCCATAGTAGAAGAACTAGGGGTCACCAAATTAAATGAATAGGCAGCAGGTTTAAAACAAAAGGAATTTTTTCTTCGTTCAGTGCACAGTCAACTTGTGGAACTCCTTGCCAGAGGATGCGGTGAAAGTTAGAACTTTAACAGGGTTAAAAAAAGAGCTAGATAGATTCATGGAGGTTAGGTCCATCAATGGCTATTAATCAGGATGGGTAGGAATGGTATCCCTAGCCTCTGTTTCTCTAGAGGCGGATGATAGGGGAGGATTACCTATTATGATCCCTCCCTCTGGGGCATCTGGTATTCGCCACTGTCAGCAGACAGGATACTGGGCTAGGTGGACCTTTGGTCTGACCCAGTATGACTGTTCTTATGAGTACCCTATAGTGTAGTCACTGTATCTGAGAATACGCCATCACTTTCTCTTCCGTGAGTGTATGTACACATGTCCCTCAACCCCTAATCTGCTTCAGTCTCGGCCTCCTATGTTAACATCTTTAATTATAATTTATTTGTGGATAGACGAGGCATTCTCAGACAGCATCTTTATTAATTTTATTGTCCTACTGATCCATTTGCTATCTGATAGCACCTTTCCTTCTATTTTTATTATCTCCTTAAAAGGGAGTCTCTTTTGTGTTTGTTAATCTGGAAGGGTTCAGAAAAGAGCTACAAGAATTTGTGGTTTTGAGGAAACATCTTACAATGAGAGGCTTTAGGAGATCAGTCCATGATATTGAAAGAAGAGTTTCTGGTGGAACTTAAATCAGAGTCTGAAAATACCTAAAGAAGGAAGAGATATTTGATACATGCAGGCGCTTTATTTTTGAACACAGAGGCATAACTCAATCCAGTAGTTAAAAGTTTGTTAGAAAAAACACATTTGATATAGGAATGCAAATTTTTAGGTAAGGGAAATTAACCACTGGAACAGATCACAAATGTGTGTGACAGATTTTCTGTCACTTGAAACAGTGGTTCTCAGCCAGTGATATGCACAGTCTTCTGAGGGTACATCTGTTAATCTAGATATTTGCCTAGTTTTATAACAGGCTACATAAAAAGTGCTAATGAAGTCAAGACAATAATTTGTTTATACTGTTCTATACGTGCTGCATGGCAATTTAAGTACAATATGTATTTTCCAATTGTTTTGTTTTGTAATAGTGTGCTGTGGCACTATTGTACTTTTAAGTGGAGTAATCCTGGCTAGTCAGACCCCTGAAAAGGGATACAGTAATCTGGAAAGACTGAGAGCCACTCATCTGAAAGATGTTTTAATCTGCCAAAGTTACTGAGCTTGATGACAGCATTGAGTTAAAAAATAAGTCTTGTTACACAGGCAGAAGCCTGTCAGATTCACAGCTGTGAAGAAAGTGGTGTGGACCATGAAGTCTGGTCTCCACTGTGAAATATACAGGCAATCCCCGAGTTACGCGGATCCGACTTATGTCGGATCCGCAGTTACGAACGGGGCTTTTCTCGCCCCAGAGGGAGCGGCGGGACGCCCAGATGAGCCGCGGTCCCGCCGCCCGCATCCTCCAGGGCGAGAAAAGCTGCTCCCCGTCTCCCTGGTCTGCTGGTCAGACCAGGGAGACGCGGAGCAAAGCCGCAGAGGACGCCTGCAGCGGGACAGCCGCGGCGCGCCTGGGCTGTCCCGCTGCAGGCGTCCTCCAAGGCTTTGCTCCCCGTCTCCCCGGGCTCACCCGCAGACCAAGGA